CCTGGGATGGCTGTTATGTGGCGTCGTGATGACCGTCATGCGAAGTTACTACCTGCTTATGAATCCGGCTTGAGGGTGGTTCGATTAGTATCTCCTACGATGGTGCAACTAAAGCGGAGAGATAGATCGCCGAAAGTGCTGAATGTTCACACCTCCTTGGTGGTTCCTGAGGTAGCTAATTTGAGTAAAGAGATCGGCCCTAACAGTAGTGACATCGATGACGAGGACGATACTGTTGAGATATTTTCACCCGTTGCTCCCCAAGTGGAGGAGGTGGATGATGATGATGATGATGATGATGATGATGATGATGATGATGTTTCGGTTGATCGTGGTTATGATGGGCACAAATTACGACCTCGTAATATTTTCCGCCCCCCTGATAGATCTAGCCCATCAGGAGGAGAGAATGTGAGGGAAAGATATAGGATTGTGCGCTGTGTCGTGACGACAAGATATCGACAAGCTGAAGCTAAGCTGAGTAGCGATTCCCTATTCCCAACAATTGTATTCATACTTGTTTTTGCTCCTTTACTCTCACCTACAACGAGAAGAGTGGTTGAGTTCTAGTACACGCCGCTACTTGTCTGTCGTTGCTTAGCATGAAGCTTCCCTGGCCGGATTGCGAATCTCTACAGATCTTGGCTAAGCTGGAAGTGCACACAAGAGGGACTACTCAAACTCTGAGGGACTCCTCAAACTCTGAGGGACTCATCAAACTCTGAGTGCTTCAAGCACTACAGGCTGTGGATGGGAGCCTCACTGGGTCCACGACGTGGACTCCACGTCCATGGACTCAACCGATGAATTTACGTAGGTTCCCGGTTCGATCCCGGGTAGAAGATTTCTTCATCGTTAAAGTTTTTCGTGCATATCTCTTCGAGCTGTTCGCATAATCAAGCTCCGCATATAAAGGAGTCGTCTGACCTATCTGGTAGCCTCCCACGCCTCGTAGTGAAGCCAGAATAATTCTTCACGCACGCACGCACAACGCCAAAGTGCCTGTTGTTGCGGTATATGCTCCGCTCGCTCCGCAATTCTGTCCCCGATGCACTTCTGTTATCATTCTTCATGCCGATCGCTTTCGTGAGAGTGTAGAATCACTGGTGTTTACATCATGTTTCTATACCAGACGAGTACCAAGTAGTAGAATATGAACCCTTTCGAGCGGTTTCAGATGATGGTGAGTGACGTAATCGCGACGACTCTACAATCCCCTATGGCAGCAAAAGCCCCTCATGGCGGTATAGATAAACCGTTCTTGAGCTAGGTGGGGTTATTGGTCTCATGGCCATGATTCTCAAAACAGCTATTAACTTCAGTGTCATAAATATCTATCCGTAGCGACCCCTGAAGCTGTCTGTGTTTCGCTAAGTCTGATTTATGTACGAGAATTCCTTCTTGCCTTGTTTTTGGTACAAGAGAGTCACGCAGGTATCGTGTTCGGACTTAACCAACAAAACAAAGATTGAACTTCAAATAGTCGCTGTATCGATATCTGGACTCGATACTCCATGGACAAGCTTGAGCTGAGGATCTCATTACCGTACTCAATCTTGCGCTCTAGTAGACCAGGTAATGCGATATTACCAACCGCTCATCTTGGACTCATCGGAGAAAAAGAACGTAACGAAAGAGAGATCGCTGAAATATCTGAAGCTAGTGATAACAGCGAGACTTGTACAAAGAGCAGTGCTCGCAAGGCCTTGCACTGATGCCTGCCTGAGTCTTATTATGAGACTCTCACAGATCTCAGCGAAAACTGGGTCCCTGACCTGGGCTAACATCGATCCAGGGGGAAGTTAAGGAGGGCAACGACAAGCAAACTCTTGCCATCATAACGTAGACGAGCGAGATCAGAGGCCTTCAGGGGAGCATCTATTTTGGTGATCAGATCCTGCAGCTTGCTCGTATCCGTGACGGTCACATATTTTGTCGAGTCATCGTACGAATAGGGCAGGTCGGTTTCGCTGCCGCTCTTCTTCGAACCACCAGTGGGAGTCCATGAGGCCGAAATGTCGAAGGCGGTAGCGCTTTTTATAGTGATCTTGACGAAACCTTTACCCATTGAGGGAATAACCGGAGAACCGCAATAGTTACCAGACGGTTTAGAGTTGAGGATGGCGTTAACGGCGACAGCGATGATGAGACCGACGAGAACGCGCATTGAGGCGTTGAAAATTTCAACTAGTTCATGGACTGTGATACGGATACCATCGTACTCGAGAAGAGTAACACAACAGGCAACATCAATCATCGATGAGCCATCAATGGATAGTACAGTACTGCGTATCAGAACAAATGGTAATTACTAATTCAGAAGCACAGCAGCAATCCAATCAGCAACTTCGTAATGTCGACCTTGTCGGGTCCACAAGTGTTGAGCGTTACACTTATTTTGTAGAGGGGAAGTCCAAGGTATGTCGCTGCGTGAAACAACTATGTGTGTGCGTGCGGAACAGGCTACGTCGGACAGCGTGTCTATCGCAAACCAGGGGTGAATGGTCAAAATTGCGCGTAGCACAAACTTGTGACAGTTGAACTGCATTGCATACATGCATTAGCAAGATGATGCCGTCATATGATATGACTCTTATCGTTGAGTTAGCATACCTGGTACCAATTACTACTGGGTTGGTATGGTGCCTGGGAGATCTTTCTCGCTTGTCCATCTCCCTAAGGGACCGCCGGATAGGAACGTCTTCCTCCCGCCTGATCGAATCAACCTGATTCAATCAGGACAGTTCTTCTCGCGATGTCAGTGACACGTGACACGTGAGTTCGTGAACGGGGGCCGAGGGCCTGTTGCGAATCCATGACGACCTACAGCTCTCAGTCTACCATATATATCCGAGTCGAGCTGTCACATCTTGGGGGGCAGATTGACTGATCTCAACATAGGGAAGACGATGCTCATCAAGCATTCCCCGAGCAAGATGCATTACGTGATCAGCTAAAGGGGACGATTGTCCGGCGTCTCCTCCCATCATAAGAGCCTTGTATAAACCCGGGTCGGGGTATCGGTTGATGAACTCTAAGAACAACACAACAAGGGAACTCGAGCTAGAGCAACCAATACTACGACCCTAGGACAATAACAATAAGAGCACTATCTGTACTTAAGTACCGTACGCGGAATAGGACGGAAAAGTGGTTGCTGTCACAACTTGTGACTCACAAGTTGTGACTCACAACAATGTTGTGACTCACGGTCTGCATCAACCAGTGGTTCGATTCAACGACGCGAACAGTCATGGCTCTCTACACTATCAGTCGGAATCATCCATCTACGTTGATTCTGCAACGCATAATACAAGCTGAGTTCTCCACGAAACTTGCGACTAGCTGTTTCGATTCACGAAGTACGAGTGTGTGCTGGACCGGGCCTGGGTGCGTGAATATGAGTCTGCGTTCATGAAGATGAGTTTGCGTGCAAGGCTTCATCCAGCGGCTTCACCCCGTGTTATCAAGAGTCTGATCGATCGAGTATAACTGTGCTATAGTTCTATCATTATCTGAGTTATCTCAGTTCTTCTTCTTTGTTTATTTATCTTCGTTCGGTTCGGTTAGAAGATCGGTTCTATCGACCTTCGGCTTAACTGTCTTGACTTACCTCCGTCTTATATTTGTGGTATCGATCGACAGTAACTAAATACCCTACAACTGGCTAGGGCCACTACCGTATCACTAAGTTAGCTGGTATACTACAAGAGCTGGAGTCGAGTTGGCTTATCTAGTTATAGCAGTGAGATATCGATTTTGGTACAATCATCCGAGAAGAAGTGACTACTAACGTCATGGATGCCAATGATCCGTTGTTAATGAGAAGCACCGAGGCGGGGAACCGCCCGGTGGAAGAATCTGGTTCGCCGCCGGCGTGGGCTTGGGAGCTCCGTGGGCAAATCGAGCACTTGGCGGGCATGTTCAACGAGTTGAGCTCGAAGTTAAACTCCTCACCTTCGATAGGGCGGTCAACGACCGACGTTCAAGGTGAGGATACGGTCGACACCGCTGTCAGCGACAATCCCAGTGTCGAGGAGCACCGAACCTCCTTACTAGACTTCGTCGGGGGGCAAGGGGTGCCGACGAGGGGAGGTCAATGTCGTCGAGGGGTTGACATAACGAAGGTGTCCAAGAGGGCACGGAATACCAGAGCTGTCACTGGAGGGCCCTTCATCGGGGTTGCGGATGCCAGAGATTTCATCTATTTCAAGAGGCAGGTGAAGAGTTTGCCTGAGATCCAGTTGAGTGGTCGATATGGACCTTCAGAAGAAGATGAATGGGCATTTGAGTATTTCTACGTGAACCACAACGTCAGCGAACCCCTAAGACAGTTAATTAATGATACTTGTGCGAGGAATAAGGACCTTACGTTCAAGGCGAGAGTGCTGACAATGTGGAGTGTCCTCGAGAGCTACTCGGACGGCACTGACGAGATGTCATTGGTGAAGCGATGGGAAGCCTTGGGTTGCGGCTCTGAGGGAGCGAAGGGGTTGGAGACCTTCGTGTCCAAATTGGAAGGCCTTCGAGATCAGCTGTCCGAAGTTCGGGGAGCTCCCGTCTCGGATCTGGAGGCGAGGGCTCGACTGTATATGGGACTACCCCGGGACGGGCAACTACATGTAGATCGCTTGCCGAGATTGTCAGTGGCGACATACAGAGACATGCTCCGAGAGTGCAAGTCCTGGGCTCAGCTTACCTTGAGATATGGGGTAGAGAGTCTTGGGATGAGATCGATGGCACCACTGAAGTTACCTACCAAAGATCACACGGGCCCTAAGAAAGGCCAGACCGGAGCCCATTTGGCCGAGTTGCACAACGCGGAGATCGACAGT